GAAATTAAGCAGTTCTATTCCACCTTTAGTCAGGGCAAGTACTACAGGTAAATAAAATGGAATTTATCGTTACAATAACAAGAGGCTTAAGATTTTGTAGTTACTATTAATTTGAAATTCTTTAATCAATTATAAGCCTAATTAATATAGTCTATAAACCTAGTATTAGGAAAGGTTTTCAAAATTATGTAACTTCTGTAGTTTATAATCCGTGAAATGGCTGACTGTCTATGAGGTCTTCACTAAAATATTTACTTACGTGCCAAAGCAAATAATCAACTTTGGCTACTTACGACACCAGCATTATATATTCTACTAAATGATTTTTTTTATTTGTTTCTTATAACCAATCTGAACCTTGGGTTCAAATGGGGAATTTCCTTACATAAATATATTGATTGTTAATATATCACTAAATGATTTACACTTACTTTCTTTCACCAATTGCTTTTAAAAATATATAATTGTACTATTATGTAATATTATACACAAAGTCAGTAGAATGTGTCTTCCACTAGGTCTGAAAGCAGAATCAAAACAACAACCACAGGCAGCAACTTCCGAGGCTGAAAACTCTAACACTGCGCAAGCTGGAGCTGACAGTGGTAAGGCCAGTGGTGAAAGTGAGCAACCTCAAGAGCCGCAATTGATATTTGAAATGTTGAGGATACATAATATTGAGAGAAAGGTAAAAAGTCAAATAAAATATAATACTAGTGATGTGTACCATTCATTCGGTTCATAACACTTTTTACTATTTGGTTAAGTTTTTAGTTAACTTTTAGCATTTTGTAAGAATATATTTTCTTTCAAGATACCTGCAGAAATTATAGACTCGGCTCCAGCTGCTAGAGCGTTGTTTAATCATACATACGAAATGTTGAAAGTTGCCAAAAGATATCACAACGTACGAGATCACCCTGAAGATTATGAGCATTGGGCATTGACACTTTGTGATTTATACGATTTTTTGTCGTTTTATGAACAAGATATATACACGTAAGAATTTTAAATAGAAATGAAATAGATGCAATGCATATTCCATATTATCCTCTAATTTTTATAATTAACTCAGTCAGTACGAGTTGCAAAGACGTCGTGCAGAGACCTTAGAGACTCTTACAGCAGCTCTGCGCCGGGTCAGACCTGACTACTACGTGCACGTCAGCGTTGAACTACTTCGAGAATTAGCAGGTGCCCAATTGGAACTTCTCGAGTTGAACTTCCGTCGTCTTTTCTGCGCCCAACTTCCACCACCACCATATCCATACACAAACTACCAGTACGTTTATCCAACGGCCCAAAATGGAGCTCCAAAGTGCGCATCCCATCATAAGGAGGGATATAATTTGGGAACAGCTCTTAGTGAAAGCGATATTGCCACAGCAGCAGGAGTTGGCCCGCATAATCCACAGAATATAACGCCGCAGGAGGCACAGGCGGCGCAAGCGGCTGCTGCGCACGCGTTGAATAAACTTAGAGCTTTTGCTGATGTAAAAGACAGGTAAATATTGATTTTAAAAAATTATTGATACATTTAACTGTGTTTGATGAGTATTCTCGTCAAACATATGTCAGTCTTGTGTTTCCTTAGAATTTTTTGTTCAATAATTTTTATCACAGTTTAGAAGCTCTTCTTTATCTTTAGATGTATAAATATTTTAATATCGCCAGCCAGTCTCATACCACGTTTGTATTTTTCCAAATTTTTAAAGTTTAATAAAACTTACCATTATCATTGGTAATTAAGAGTTAATTCCTCCTAAAACGTGGTGATGTAGACCGTGCCTTCTAGATCTAATTGAATTGACAATTCTTTCGAATTGACACGTACATTGAAGACTGGACCAGTTTAGCGAAAAGCAGCACGTGGAACTGAACTACGACGTCAATATAATTGCTGCAGGAGATACCGAACAATACGGAATGTGATTAGTGAATATGAAATTTACCTATGCTTGAAAAAAATACCAGAAAAAAAGCTGCTGAAAAACGAATGGAATCAACAAGTATCTATTAGTCAAGATCATTTCATGCACTGGGTTCAGTTTTCTACCGTAAAAATAGTAGCGACACCTGTTTTTAATTTGGAATATGTTCAATTCAATAATTTTATTCAAAAAATTAAAATTTAATGTTTTTATATATTTTGTACAAGTGGTTTTATTTTATGATTTTGTGCCCACTTTTTAACCGCGTTTAACCAATCTGTTCATGTATAAAAGTCACCGTTTTTTCTATAAAAATATATAAATAAAACATACAATATCATATTTATTCATATGTATAAATATAATATATACTAGAACACAGTTATACTGTTAGTAGTAAGAATAAATATATATTAGGTCATAATTAAAAATAAATTAGAGTTATTAATATATAAATATTTTGTCATGACAAATATTATTTAAATTTTAGATTAGCCTTGAGCAAAATTAATAAATAAATATTTGTACTTTTTCTTTCTTAGAAATTTAATCTAATTATATTAAAAACTAGATTTATAATACGAAGTTTTGTGGTATACACCATATATATATTTTTAGATTATAATGCTCATATTATTCAATATATCATATATATTTAATTCAAAAATTTACTAGAAAATTTTAATTAATATTGTTTAAATTTAATTTTGTAAACTATTAAATTTTTTTTTAATTTTAAATCAATATTATATACTATAATTAATTATTTAATAATTAATTAATATATAGTATTTGTTAATAAATCTTATAGAACTAATAACTAACGCACTTATAAGTACATTAAATAACGTCACTAAAAATAATTTATTATAATAATTCTTGTTTATCCCTTTGGCGACCGATTTAACTACTTATTATATTTAACTTATATTTATTTTATTATTTGTGATGATTTTCTTGCATGAGCAATAAGTAAAGTATATGGCGAATAGATCTTGATGTCGCCATCTAAACTATCATCTTCTTTAAACTCGTTATTATTTTTATCAGTTTTTCCAACAAACCCCATTTTTCTGACTATTTCAAAATAATCATGAAAATATTCGTTATGTTGGTGAATTGGAATTCGAGATTTGAAAGGATCCACTGCTCGTACAGATTCTGAACAGGAATAAATAATAATAATCATCAAAATACTTCATAGTAACATTTTAGCGATTACTTTTAGTTTTATTCTGTGTCTATTTTAGTTTTTTTATAATTCTACTTACCGCTTAAAATATCGATTCCATCGAAAACAAACACCCTGTCTCTTGTCTCGCAATGGATTTGTTCGAATCCAGCATCAGTTAGATGTTGTTTTAATAATTTGTGGGGATTTTCAATGTCCTGATATGGTGAAACAAATCGATCAGCATCCTTCATATAAGGAGCCCATCGAGGATTTGAAGCCATTCTCCGGTAAACGTCGAAGATTGGATTCCGGGCAAGGAAAACCAAGAGGCAGTCGCCTCCGGAAGAAGGAGGTCGTAGATGTTTTTAGCTGCCCTTCTAGAAGAAAAATTAAAAATTTTATTTATTTTAATTTTAGTTACAACTGTTAACAAAATAGCCAGTATTTTTGCATAATTTTTAAATCAAGAAACAATAACACAAATAATGAACAGTGTGACCATTAAAAGTACCATTATTCAATATTTCTTTGAATTTTTTTTTTAAATTGATTGAATTGATAAAATTGATGAATTAATAAAATAAAATAATGTATATCTATTGCCATATTTGTTATTTTTTTCAAATTGATCAAAAATGCTTAAAAATGTAAAGAATATTTTAATTAGTCATTAATATTTTTGTAACAAATTTTAATTTTATATAATTTTAAATAATAGTAATTTTAAATTTCATTTTATTATCATCATAAGGATATCATTTCAATGGATATACTGTCCTTCATTTTGTATTATATATTTATTCTAATTTTTATCTAATGTTACCAAATTTTATTTAGGAGATGTAACTGATATTGCAATTTTAAAAAAGTTGATTTATCGATTTTATTTATTCAATTCGATAGTTAGATATATTATTGTTATTAGCATTAAAATAAAATTAGTAATATTTATAAAAAAAATTGTTTAAGTGTTAAAAATTATCCTGCATACTAGATGCTCAATTTCCAAACAAATCAAAAACAAAACACTTAAGCAATTAATAATGGCTTTGTTAAATTATTTTCGTATTAGTATCTTTGACAGAATCTATATTGCATATGATTTCAAAATTACAGTATAATGACTTAGTTTTGGTTTAAAATAAATATCGAATATAATTGTCAAAAGTTAAAATACTCATTTGTTTATTTGGTAAATGACATTTCACAATTAGTAAAAACATAACAAATGCGATCAACTTGATAAATTATTAATAATTTAAAATATTTTCCTCATTGGGTTAAAATTTCATGTATTTGAAAAAAGATACTTCTAAAAACTACGCAGTAAAAGATTGTTAGTGAAAGATGGACGACATTGATGAAAATTTCTTGGAAAGACATGGTCTTGTGCGTACACATCGAGGTAATAGACGAAGACGAGCTAGAACAATTGCAAATCGTGTAAACCGAACAAGAAATGTTGATAATAATAGAGAATATTTATTTAATATGCGGGACAGATTGTTTCAAGCTATATTTCAGAGAGCAACAATGACGTACGCTAAAACCATACCAAAAACTATGCGACGTACAATAGAAATATTTCTTTTGCTAAAAGCTCTCCTGGCTTTCTTTAGTCTCATTTACATCCACTTTCAATTCTCTAAAAATTCTGCAATAACTTTGAATTCAGTGGTAAAAAATTGGCCAGAAACTGGTATTTTGCGATTGGAATTATCAGATGATTTTCTTATGTACAAGAAACTGACAGTGACCTAAAATTGTCTGATTTGTGTATGAAAGTGTTTCAAACTAAGAAAAATCCATCAAAAATCAGGAGCAGATATACTCTGAATCCGCATGGTTTGAAAACCACGTGCTTTCGTAATAATACTAATAAAGTGTTGCAAAATATGACCAATATAATAAACGAATTGTTGCTAGAGAACTTAAAAAGTGAACACATAGTCGAATATTCCATTGAGCAAGGATTGTTGAGATTAAGCGATGAATTGCGAAAAAAATTCAATGTCCCTGTACTACGTGTTGTTATCAATGCCAGTAATGACGATTGTTTTGGAAGCACTGTGTCACGTGTCCTAATAGAAGAATATTTAGGATATGATGATTTCCTTACGTCCGTCCTGAAAAACGTAGCAAGGAGCCATGGGTCCAATGGTTATATCAAAAATGCAAACACTGATGAATATTTTATGATCAACAAATGTGGAGAGGAACTTTTCCTATGTGGTAGCTTTAATGTTAATGTTATTTTTTACTGCTGTTATATCAATTTTGTTGAGATTTATTCAACATCAACTTTTCGTAATCTTGTTGACGTATTGCACGTTTTGGAATACAACACACCGATCACGATACCCTTTTCCATCATGATTTCAGCAATTCTTGCACTTCTGGGGATGGAGTTGATATTGTACGATTTTTTCAAAAATTCCACACTTAGTTTTTTCGTTATAGTCGTAATATGGATTGCTGACCAATTCGACAACATTTGTTGCAACACTACAGTTCTAAAAGATACTGGGTTAGATTCTTCTACATGTACCACTTCCTTTCTACGCTTATCATTACAAGTTTCATGGACAGTATAACAACTTGGCTTACTCCGCATCCTGGTTATTTATTGAACACTCAATGGTTTACTTTTTCACCATTATGAAATCCAGCAGTTGAGCACGAAACTCGGAGAAGACATCAGAGTCGTCTATATATGGAACAACAAGTCGAGAGGGCTAGAAATGTAATGCATCAGCTAATGAGGTTGTCAGAATGGAAATGGAAAATCGGGTTGTAGAAACCCAAAGTGTTGGTACAGAGACTGATCCAGATGGAGAGATTGTTGGAGATTATACTTTACTTCTTACAGTGGAAAGATATGACCATAATGCTGAATCTTCCCTGGGAGAAGAAATTCC